TGATATCCAGGGCTAGACAGACATGGACTGAAGACCTTAACCTACAATGCCAAGAGTTAGGCTGGCTGGAAGAACTCAGCTTCCCTTTGTGGGACTGGGTTCAGATGGCAAAATCCTCTTTTTCTTACTGTGCAGAAATCTTTTCTTGGTAAACAGAAATAGTTGAAACCCCTCACTCCCCACCCTGGGAGCCCTGGGCTCCTCCTCGTCTTGCTCCAGCACACTGTAACACTCCTTGCTGGAGGCCTTGCTGGGAGCTGTGCTGCTCCATGTCCCATCCCACCACATGGCAGGGAGGGACTCCCTTTGACCTCAAGAGAACTTCAGATGATCCCATGGACAACCTCAGTGAGATCTTTGTGGACCCCACAGGGAAATAGGTCTGCCAGGGTGGCTGTCCAGCTCCCCATCAAGGGAATATCATGAAGAGGTCCCATGGACCAGAAGGGCCACCCTGCAGGGTGTGAGCAGGGGGTCTTCTCCCCTCCAACCCCCTGGACACAGCCTGAGGTCAGACTGGCAGTTCTCTGCCAAGGCTGTCCTCACCCTCTCTGCAAAATGCCTCAGTGATTGTGATCCCCCTGTGGGTAAATACATGAGTGTCCACGAATATGTGTGTTCATAAGATGTGGTTCTGCTTGTGCTAGTAGAGATTTCTCTGTCCAAGGAGGCCACCCTGTCCATTTCCAAACTTCCAGCTGGGTATACAGCACTTGGTAGAGATGCCGAGCTTTTGCTTCTTGGCATTTGCCTCCACCCTGTGTCACTGGGTAACTTAATCCAGCTCTCAATTTCTAGGAAGACACCTCTTAAGTTGACTAATTATCCACTAATTAACCACATCATTAAGGAAATGTTTCTGTTCCCTGCGAGGGTGGTGAGGCCCTGGCACAGGTTGCCCAGAGAAGCTGTGGCTGCCCCATCCCTGGAAGTGTGCAAGGCCAGGCTGGATGGGGCTTGGAACAACCTGGGCTAGTGGAAGGGTCATGGCAAGGGGGATTGGACTAGATGGTCTTTAAGGTCCCTTCTAAAACAAACCATTTCAGAATTATTCTATGAAAGAAGGACTCGGTTCATCTCAGACTGGATTGGCACTGTGTCTGCACCAACTAATTACTGTCTCCATCCTAAAGATTTTCCAGGAGGCCCCCCCAGCCCATGTGCTGCTGTGCAAGGGGTGTCACAAGACGTGTTGCAGGAGGATAACGGTGACATTGCAACAGCCCCATGAGGCACCTCAGCCTCTGCCACTGCAGCAGGGAGGGACGAGGGGCAGCCCCAGCACCCCCACACTGATGGGGCACTGCCTGGTTGGCCAAGGGCAGTTGTGTCAGCAGCAATAAGGGCATGTCCCACCCTCTGGCAACGGTGTAAAGCCAGGGTGTTTTGGGCAAAGTGATACTTCCCAGTTGTGACTCTTCCGTGTGTGACTCCAGGTCAGATTGTTACAGCCCTTTGCTGCCTTGGTGTGCTTTGAGCCAACCCCTTCATCAGGTAGGTAACTGAGGAGTCCCTTCCAGACACCCAGATCCTTCCCTGCCCTCTTGCTCTTCCCTGGCTCGCTGCTGCACTGGGTAGCAGACTGTCCTTGCTGGGAATCCTGGGAATGGTCTGGAGTTGGGGACGGGCACTCCCCAGGCAAGCTGGGATGTACTTTCCAGTGCTCAGTGAAGCAGGGGTGATTGAGGCAGCCAGCCTTGGGCTGGTTGAGGTACTGGAGAGCACCGGGTGAGACTCTTGGCATTTCCTGGTACAAGGATTGCCCTAAATTCTTGACCCTGGTTTGGTTCCTGGTGTGCCCTCTCTGCAGCCCTGTGAAGACCCAGGACAGGCACCAGCCATGCGGATGCTGTACCTGCTCCTCCCCTTCATCCTCCTGTTGGTCCACAGTGCTGAAGGTGAGAGGGAAAGAGGGGAGATGCGTGAGGCTTGAGCCCCTATCTGTGGGGTTTTCCAGTTCCTGAGAAGCGACCACATTTCTCAGATATACATAATATTTGGGAGGGATTGTCTCCTAAAAAGAGCTGGGCAAATGAGGGCTCAGCACAGCAATTCCCGTAGTGCACACTGCTCTTTTCCTGTGTTTCCCCACATGCACTCATGTTGCTGCAGAAAAAATAAAGCCTGACTGGAGAGGAAAAGATGTTTGGATTGATGCTTAATGCCCATAGGAGGCTGAGATGCACAGCCACTGCCAGCTGCTCTGGAACAAGACAGTTATCCCATACTCATTTTATTCAACCTCTTTCACTGTGCAGGTTCCTCCCTGGCCCCAGGAAATAAGAAGCAATGTGAACGAGAAAATGGCTACTGCGGGTTTCTGAAGTGCTCTTTCCCCTTTGGCATCCAGGGAAAATGTTCAAGGTTTTTCTTTTGCTGCAAAAGGTAATTTTTATAATTGCAAAAGGTACTGTTATGGCAGAAGTTCTTTGAGTGCCCGTGACTAGTTAACGGCTTAGTGATCTACCTGCTCCAAGGCAGAGCCCAGGGGAGGAAAGGGACTAGCCCTGAATGGGACTGCAGGAGCCCCAGGTCAGCCAGTGCCTCCCCAATCTCCTCCCGTGCCAGGCTTTGCAGAGGACTCACTCAAGTGACCAAAAAGTGAAGTATTTGCTGTCCTTAGGCAATACCCAGGACATGATCCAGGTTTTGCTGCATCTGCACAGACTTGGAGTCAGGGTTGCCACCAGGTCCAAACTGTCTACACAAAGGACTGGGCCTCCCCTGTGCTGAGCCTGAGACTCCTGCACCACAGCCTGGATGGTTCTTGCAGGGAAGGTGGGAGAGAGTGGGAGGAAAAACTACCACAGCTGACGTGCTTCTCTGCTTTCTTCTTACAGATTGTGGGGTTGAGACCCTGAAATTTCCAAGCAGGATGTTCCCCTTGCTTCTGGCCCCTGATGTCTTCTGATAAACCATCTCCTGATGTCCTCTCCCTTCCCTGCCTCTGCCTTGCCCAGCTGCTGGGACAGCAGCAGTGGCAGCTGCTCCTGCTGGGTGCTGCTGGGCTGGAGACATCTCGTCCCAGCCGTGGGCTCTGTGGGGCAGAGGCTGCTTTTCCCAGCTTGAATAAAGATGAGCAGTTTGGCATTGCAGGGGTGGGCCGTGTGTGCGTGTCCTTGGGATGGAGGGGGTGCTGTGCCTGCTGGCTGTGGGGGTGGCAAAGGTGGGTTGTTGTGAGGAGAAGCATCTGGGGATGCTGGGGGTGCCCAGTGTGTGTGTCCCTGGGGATGCTCCTGCCTGGCATTGGAGTGGGAACACAGAGCCTGTCAGTGCCTGTTGGTGCAGGGGGTTTGGTGGTGCTGTGATAGAGCTGCTCTGGGGGATGTTCCATCTGGGGGAGGAGGAGCTTTGTCCTAATTCTTCTGGTTATGGATGGCTCTTGTCCCTGACAGCCATGGCTTTATGCACAGGGTTGTGCTGGGTGTTGTGTTTCTTTGGTGGGCATGGCCAGGACTGCCCACCAAACCCATCCCAGATGTCCCAGAGTTCCCAGCAAACCTCCAACCTCTCTCATCTGCAGTGGAGCTCAGTGCTGCAGCACAGTTCCCACTCAGCTCCCTCCTGTTTCCAGCCCTACAGCATCAACCCCTCTACCAGCTCCACAGCCCCCCTGGAGGAGCCTGATCCTGCAGCCAACCCACAGAAAACCTTTGTGTGCCTTGCAGGGAAGCAGGTCTTCCAGTCGGTGACCTGTCCAAAGGGTCCCTTGGACCTCAGTCTAGAAAAGTCCAGAAATGTATTCCAACAGGGAGAAAGCAGGGTTGTCCTCCCTGCCTGCCTTAGGAAACAGGGATTACATCACCATTCTCCCCCAACAACCAGTCACCTCGGCCTTCCTGTGAGTGCAGCCCCCTGCCCTGTGCAGTCACACCCATGTGTGCATCCCTGCACACAAGGGTATGGCAGCAACTGGTGATCTCGGCCATTCCACTGGATCCTTTCCATCCCAAGGGCACAGATCACCCTCAGCCCTCCATCCTTGACTTCCACACCTTCTGCTTCCCTGCTTGCCAGGCACCCCTTCCCAGAGCCATGGTGGGGGCTGATGCTTTCATCTGCTCCCAGGACATCTCAGCAGCACAAGTCCTGAAGCTGAGGGTCCCTGATGGATTCACAGTAGCCCAGTCTCCTGGGACATCAAACCCTGTGTCCACATCAGCTGGGCTCTTCCCTCACACCCACCATCAAGATCCCACCCTGTTGTCCAGGTCCAGCACAGCAGGTTCCCACTGACTTTGTAGGATCATTCCCTTCACTTTCATTCATGTATCATTTAACTGAACATTTAACAGTCACCATGAATATCATTGATCTCAGCAGCTCAAAGCTGTTCTGCTGTTCTGCTGTTCCTTTGGCCCAGAACATCTTGAACAAGATTGATGGTGTTGTGGAGCATCACCCATGAGCTTAATATAGTAGTGATAGAGGAGAAACAGCAAGAAAAGGAGAAAGATCAATGGACAAATGATATTTTTCTGACCCATGATATGACATGACTTCCATGGAAGCAGTGAACTGGAGATGCTGATCACAAAATCAGAAAATCATAGATTAGCTTGGAAGAGACCTTTAAAGGTCATCTAGTACAAACAATGAGAAGGGACAATTTCAACTAGACCAGGTTGCTCAGAGCCCCATCCAACCTGACCTTGCATGTTTCCAGGGATGGGGCACCCACCTCCTCTCTAGGCAACCTGTGTCAATGTTTCACCACACTTCACTGTAAAAAATTTCCTCCTTATATCTAATCTAAATGGATCCTCCTTGCTCTATGCATGGATTTGAACACCAGCTTATAAATGCATGCAGAACCAATATGCTATTTCCAAAACGTCACAGGAAACTTCAAATAAAAGCAGAGATGAAACCTCCCACTATAACATAGAAAAGTAAGGAGGTTTGTAACCCTCCTTGTGCTCTTTCACATCCCATGTTACCTCATTATTTTGTCAACTTGGAAGAGTCAAGGAGAGAAGTCTTACTGACTCTTTGAGGCTAGTTGCTGCTGCTGCAAATTCCAAGGAGGTCATGCCAGGTTCCCCCAGCCCGTGTGCTGCTGTGCAGGGGGTGTCACAAGACGTGTTGCAGGAGGATAACGGTGACATTGCAACAGCCCCAGGAGGCACCTCAGCCTCTGCCACTGCAGCAGGGAGGGACGAGGGGCAGCCCCAGCACCCCCACACTGATGGGGCACTGCCTGGTTGGCCAAGAGCAGTTGTGTTAGAAGCAATAAATACATGTCCCACCCACCAGGAGGGGTATAAAACCAGGGTGTTTTGGGCGAAGCAACATTTCCCGACCCCAAAGGCATCTGGAAACAAGCTATTCCTGTTGGATTTGCTGCTGCCTGAACACCAAGACCTTCATCAGGTAGGTGACTGTGGGGTCTCTTCCTGGAAATCTGCCCATTCAGGTTCTCAGCTCTAAGCCCATCTCCACAGACTCACCTAAAGGACAAACAGCTGGAAGTATCCAGGTGTGTTATTAGGTTATCACAGATGTCTGGGAAAGAGAATAAAAGCCTTCATATGGGTCTAAGATTTGAGAACATGTGGGAGGTGAAACTAAGGTTTTCTAAGTAGAGGAGAGACTGGAAAGGTGCCTTGATGCTGCAGGAGGGACCTTGGAGCTTCTTTGTGGGCAAATGGAGACTTTCTTTGGATTGAACTGGTAAGAATTTGGGTCAGGTGTGCACTCTGCTCTCTGGGGAAAGCCTATGGAAGACCTTAGAGAAAGTTGTTGGAAATGGATCATCTTAGGGAATAGATTTCCCAGAGACTGAGACAGGAGGAAACACTCCCAAGGTTTGCAAGGTGGCACAGACCTCAGAAGTGTTCTTGAGAGAAAGGTAGAGGAAAGATCATGTGCTGTGTGTGGAGGCAGCCCCTCTGCACTTTGGGGAACCCCAGTGGCCAGGCTTCTGCACCCCCTGGGGTCCTCCATGTCCTCATTGCCTTGGTGTCCCCTCTGCAGCCCTGTGAAGACGTGGGAGAGGTGGATCAGCCATGAAGATCCTGTACCTGCTCTTTGCCTTTCTCCTGCTGCTGGTCCAGAGTGCTGCAGGTGAGAGGGGAAGAGGGGAGTCAAGGGGAACCTGTGATTCCCCCATCATTGGAGTTTTCCATGTCCCTGGAAGTTACAATGTTATTGGGAGTGATGCAAATGTCAGCGGGCATTGATGAGAAAAGTGTTTTCTCCAGTGATTTTCCAGTAGGACACAGACTTGGGACTGAGACAATCCTTGAAAGCAGAAGCTTGGCTTATTCTGGAGGTCAGGAATGGGCTTGAGTTCAGGCTCCAACTCTGCACCCAACCATTCCTTTTTGGGTGTCTCTGGATGGTCTCTTGCACTGTACAGGGATGGGAGAGAGCCCCAGGACTGTTCAATTGGTTGCTTGGCACCGAAAGCATTTGTGCCTCTTCTGATCTAGTGCTGCATCAGCTGAGTGTCCCAAAACCTCAATACCCCAAGGCATGATCCCTGCAAGGGCTGGGCAAGGACTTTCCCTCAGAGGTCACACCAATCATGGCACAGCCAGGACAGGCATGTGGGATGTCTTCCAGCAGTGCTGGTCCAGGCAGTGTTGGGAATGCTGTGGGGAGCCAGCAAGGCTCTTCCTCAACCTCACGCTGCTCCTTCCCACTCTCTGCTCTTGTGTGTACCCAATTTAGGGTGAAAGAGTCCTAGAGAGACGTTGCTCTTGAAGATGTGGCTCTGGGGGGGTTGGAGCTGTGCACAGTTATTGGACTGAAATGCACAGGGAGTGTCAGCCTTTCTGCAGCCACACACAGCTCCCCCAGACTGTTGATTTAATTGTTCTCTGTCTGTCTTGCCCCATGGAAACAGGAAGCAAATTCAGATGCAAAATAAATGGGGGAGACTGCAGATTTGGGAAATGCCAATACGGTACAAAACCAATTGGAAGATGCTCATCATTTAGAGTGTGTTGCAAAAGGTAGGTAAGAGATCCCTGGTTGACTAAGATAGTTCTCCATTTTCCACAGAAAGATTTGTTACAAAGTTATCTCTAGCTAATGCCTGCTAAATGACCTGTATTTATGGTTTGCATTTATGGGGAAGGAAGGGAAAAGCCCTGGTGGGTTTGGACCAGCCCTGAGTTGGGCTACAGGAGCCCCAGGTCCGCTGGTGCCTCCCCACCCTCCTCCAGTGCCAGGAGGCTCATTCAGGCTTTGCAGAGGACTCAACCAAGTGACCAAAAAGTGAAGCATTTGCTGTTTTTGGGCAGCACCCAGGACATGATCCAGGTTTTGCTGCATCTGCACAGACCTGGAGTCAGGGCTGCCACCACTAAGATAAGCCAGGTCCAAACTGTCTGCATGAAGGACTGGGCCTCCCCTGTGCTGAGCCTGAGCCTCCTGCACCACAGACTGGATGGGTCTTGCAGGGAAGGTGGGAGAGAGTGGGAGAAAATCTTAACACAGCTGATGTGCTTGTCTGCTTTCTTTGTACAGCACATGGGGTTGAGACCCTGAAATGTCCAAGCAGGACGTTCCCCTCGCTTCTGGCTCCTGGAACCATCTCCTGATGTCCTCTCCCCTCCCTGCCTCTGCCTTGCCCAGCTGCTGGGACAGCAGCAGTGGCAGCTGCTCCTGCTGGGTGCTGCTGGGCTGGAGACATCTCGTCCCAGCCGTGGGCTCTGTGGGGCAGAGGCTGCTTTTCCCAGCTTGAATAAAGATGAGCAGTTTGGCATTGCAGGGGTGGGCCGTGTGTGCGTGTCCTTGGGATGGAGGGGGTGCTGTGCCTGCTGTCTGTGGGGGTGGCAAAGGTGGGTTGTTGTGAGGAGAAGCATCTGGGGATGCTGGGGGTGCCCAGTGTGTGTGTCCCTGGGGATGCTCCTGCTTGGCATTGGGGTGGGGACACAGAGCCTGTCAGTGCCTGTTGGTGCAGGGGATTTCCTGTGGGAGTGATGGAGCTGCTGTGCAGATGCTCCCTCTGGGAAGTGGGTCCTTTGTCCCTTGTCCCTGACTATCACAGCACCACTAAACCATATCCCCAGTGCCTCATCTACGTGGTTTTAAATCCCTCCAGAGATGAGGATTCCACGATACCCCGGCCAGCTGTGCCAGTTCCTGACTGGACTTTTAGTGATGTAACTGTTCCTAATGCCTGAACTAAACCTTCCTGGTGCAATTGAGGCCATTTTCTGAACCTGACATTTGTTCCCTGGGAGAAGGGATCAATCTCAAAAAAGCTTCCACTGCCATTATTGCTTTCCACAGCTGGAGGGTTTAGTGAGAGACATTCAGATCAGGCCTGTCTGCCTTGGCCTTTCCTCCTGCTGTGCTCTCCTCTCCTGACACTGACCCTGAGCAGTCACCACGAGCACCCTTCACCTCTGCAGAGCAAAGCTGATCCCCAATCCCAGGCAGCTCCTGCCCAGCCCGTGTGTCACAGGATGTGTTGCAGCAGGATAAGGGTGACATTGGAACAGCCCCAGGAGGCACCTCAGCCTCTGCCACTGCAGCAGGGAGGGACGAGGGGCAGCCCCAGCACCCCCACACTGATGGGGCACTCCCTGGTTGGCCAAGGGCACTTGTGTCAACAGCAATAAGGGCATGTCCCACCCACCAGGAGGGGTACAAAACCAGGGTGTTTTAGGCAAAGCAGCATTCCCTGACTCCAAGAGAATTTGGAGCTGAACGACTGCTGTTGGATTTGCTGCTGCCTGAACACTAAGACCATCAGGTAAGTGACTGTGGGGTCTCTTTCTGGAAACCTGCCCATTCAGGTTCTCAGCTCCAAGCCCATCTCCACAGACTCACCTAAAGGACAAACAGCTGGAAGTATCCAGGTGTGTTATTTGGCCATCAGAGATGTCTGGGAAAGAGAATAAAAGCCTTCATATGAGTCTAAGATTTGAGAACATGTGGGAGGTGAAACTGAGCTTCCCTGAGTATAGGAGAGGTTGGAAAGATGCTTTGATGGTGCAGCAGGGACATGAGATCTTTGCTGGGCAAAGGGAGACTTTCTTTGGATTGAATTGGTAAGAATTGGGCTCAGGTCTGCAGTCTGTTCTCTGGGGAAAGCCTATGGAAGATTTTAGACAAACTTATTGGAAAAGGATCATCTTAGGGAAAGGATTTCCCAAAGACTGAGACACCAGTAAATACTCCCAAGGTTTGCAGGGAGGCACAGACCTCAGAATTGTTCTTGAGAGAAAGGTAGAGGAAAGATCATGTGCTGTGTTTGGAGGCAGCCCCTCTGCACTTTGGGGAACCCAGTGGCCAGGTTTCTGCACCCCCATGGGTCCTCCATGTCCTCATTGCCTTGGTGTTCCCTCTGCAGCCCTGTGGAGACCTGGGAGAGGTGGATCAACCATGAAGATCCTGTACCTGCTCTTCCCCTTGCTCCTCCTGCTGGTCCAGAGTGCTGAAGGTGAGAGGGGAAGAGGGGATTTGGGGAAGCTCTTGGCCCCCATCCCTGGATTTTTCCATGTCCTGGGAAGTGACCATATTATTTGGAAGGATGCAAATGTTATATGGAATTGAGGAAACTGGAGCATTTCAAGTGAATTTCCAAGAGACACAGACGAGGGGTGCATGGAGCTCCTGGAAATACAAGCCAGGCTACTGCTGTGGGTCAAGAAGGGGATTGGTTTCAAGCTCCAACTCTACTCCCAGATGTTGCTTTTTCCGTGTCTCTGGGTGTTTTTTTTGCCTTGTACAGGAACGGGGAGAGCCCCAGGGGTGTTTGGGTTGTTGGGTCTCCGGAGCACAGAGCTGTCCCTCTTCATCTAGTGCTGCATCAGCTGAGTGTCCCAAAACCTCAATACCCCAAGGCATGATCCCTGCAAGGGCTGGGCAAGGACTTTCCCTCAGAGGTCACACCAATCATGGCACAGCCAGGTCAGGCATGTGGGATGTGAGGAGCCCCCTGTTTTTCATCTGTGCTGGTGCAGGCAGTGTTGGGAAAGCAGCTGGGGAGCCAACAAGGCTCTTCCTCAACCTCACACTGCTCCTTCCCACTCTCTGCTTTTGTGTGTACCCAATTTAGGGGAAAGAGTCCTTCTAGGTGAGATAAATTGCTTTTAAAGACATGGCTGTTGGGAGGTTGGAGCTGAGCACACCAGCACAACTGTGCTGAAATGCACAGGGAGTGTCAGCCTTTCTGCAAATATACGCAGCTCTCCCAGACTGTTGATTTAATTGTTCTCTGTGTGTATTTTTCCGCATGGAAACAGGAGGCAAATTCAAATGCAAACTAAGCGGGGGCCACTGCAATTTTGGGAAATGCCCCTACGGCACAAAACCAATTGGAAGATGCTCCACATTTAGAGCGTGTTGCAAAAGGTAAGTAAGAGATTGCTAACTGACAAAGATAGTTCTCCTTTTTCCATAGAAAGATTTGTTACAAAGTTCTCTCTAGCTAATGCCCGCTAAATAATCTCCTGCATGTATGGTTTGTGGGTGAGGCCCAAGAAAGAAGGAAGGCAAAAGCCCTGGTGGGTTTGGGCCAGCCCTGAGTTGGGGCTGCAGGAGACCCAGGTCAGCCAATGCCTCCCCACCCTCCTCCAGAGCCAGGAGGCTCATTCAGGTTTGCAGAGGACTCACCCAGGTGACCAAAAAGTGAAGCATTTGCTGTCCTTAGGCAGCACCCAGGACATGATCCAGGTTTTGCTGCATCTGCACAGACTTGGAGTCAGGGCTGCCACCACTAAGATAACCCAGGTCCAAACTGTCTGCCCTAAGGACTGTGCTGAGCCTGAGTCTCCTGCACCACAGAATGGATGGGTCTTGCAGGGAAGGTGGGAGAGAGTGGGAGGAAAAGTTACAACAGCTGACGTGCTTGTTTGCTTTCTTTATACAGCATGTGGAGCTGAGACCCTGAAATGCCCAAGCAGGACATTCCCCTCGCTTCTGGCTCCTGGTACCATCTCCTGATGTCCTTTCCCCTCCCTGCCTCTGCCATGCCCAGCTGCTGGGACAGCAGCAGTGGCAGCTGCTCCTGCTGGGTGCTGCTGGGCTAGAGACATCTCGTCCCAGCCGTGGGCTCTGTGGGGTAGAGGCTGCTTTTCCCAGCTTGAATAAAGATGAGCAGTTTGGCATTGCAGGGTGGGCCGTGTGTGCATGTCCTTTGGATGGAGGGGGTGCTGTGCCTGCTGGCTGTGGGGGTGGCAAAGGTGAGTTGGGGTGAGGAGAAGCATCTAGGGATGCTGGGGGTGCCCAGTGTGTGTGTCCCTGGGGATACTCCTGCTTGGCATTGGGGTGGGAACACAGAGCCTGCCAGTGCCTGTTGGTGCAGGGCGTTTTTTTGTTGGAGTGATGGAGCTGCTCTGCAGATGCCTCCTCTGAGAAGTGGGACCTTTATCTCTGATCTGGCAGTCACAGGTGTCCCTTGTGTCTCACCACTAAACCATATCTTCAAGTGCCACATCTACATAGCTTGTAAATCCCTCCAGGGATGTGGACCCCACCAGTGCCCTGGACAGAGTATTGCAATGCTTGACCACCCTTACTGCAAAGAAATTGTTCCTAATAGCCAATCTAAACCTCCCCTCGTGCTACTACTCTTGGCCATTTTCTCTGGTCCTGATGACTGTTACCTGGCAGAAGAGACTGTCTCCAATGATCATCCACTGTCATTGCTTTCCAGAACTGGAGAGATGAGTGAGGAATGTTCAGATCAGCCCTCTCTGCCATGACCTTTTTCCTTCCCTTGTGCTCTCCTCTCCTGACACTGACCCTGAGCAGTCACCATGAGCACCTTTCACCTCTGCAGAGCAAAGCTGTTCCCCCACGCCAGGGTCTCAGTGAGGGGAGACTGAAAGGCTTAGACAATGTTAATACAAAGCCTTGCCAATAAATCAGGAGGTGCAGAAAGGACTCCCTCGCTTTCTAAACTCCTTTTCAGAGAAAGGTTTAGATGTGGCTAAATCCTATCTTAGCCTGGGACTGTGTCAACAGTTGATAACTTGCACAGTATGTGTTCCTTGATTGGATTTTAGACCTTATCAGAGTGGGGCTTTCCTGCCACAGGCTCCTGTCCAGTTCCTGTGTCAAAGGACTGTGTTGCAGCAGGATAAGGGTGACATTGGAACAGCCCCAGGAGGCACCTCAGCCTCTGCCACTGCAGCAGGGAGGGGTAATGCCCAAAAAGGAACACTGAAAACTGCTCAGAGACAGTTTTGAGTCTTTAAGCAGCAAAAGGTATTTATTTTAGGCAACGTTGGAGGCTAGCCAGCTCATGCTGGACAAAACTAGCCCAAAGTTATCAGTGTCAAGTCAGGTATTAATACAGTTTTTGTAAGAGATTACATCATTTTTACATGCATATTCATATTGTTGCAACATTTCATTATAATATTCATAGCAGGTGGAGCCTGGGTGGAATCTGGGCGGAGTTGTCCTTTTGGGCTGCTGTTTTGGGGGTCCTTCCTGTTTCTTCATCCTCAGGGGGTCTCATTTCAGAAGTCTTCCTTGCTTTGAACTTTTCAACTTTCTTAGTTGGCTGTCTTCCTGATGATGAATTTTGCAAGATTTTGGATTCATGCCCCTATTTTGCCCCTTATCTCCTAAGGAACCCTTCCTCATGTCTATTTAGGTATATGTGTTAGCGTTTCTTGGTGTTCTTTATTTCCCTGTTTTTATACTTTATGTTCTTTGTGTTAGTGTGTTAGCATTCTTTGGCCAGGTGTTATCTTTCACTAGCCTTGAATTCCGGTTCCTTTAGTTCTTTACCCAGAGCTTGCATTCTG